TGTCTCATTGTCTGCACGAGGCTGCACTCCTCCCTCATCCCTCTCTCTCTGATGTTTCTCATCCTGACTCCATTAAACGATTGTTCACCAGCGAGGACACGTCTGCTGCTGCACATTTGTTCTTATTGTCCACAAACCTCATGTGTCCGTCGCTCAACACTTCCTGTCTGTGGCTCTCAGCTCCAAGCCCATTTGTTCTCACTAAAGATGTGAATCTTTGAAACACCTCACAACTAGATAGCTTCATTAGAAACAAAACACTCATTAGTTTCCTAAAACATCTGCTCAGTTCAGTTTTTATTAAACAGGAGAAAGTAGTGAATTTGTGAGGGACTATTTTCAGCAGCGGATGAATCCACATTTGGTCTTTAGTGAGTAAACTACAGTGTGTGTTTGTAGGAATATGTCAGGAGGTACAGAACGGTTTGAGATGCTAATGCTAATGCTAACTGCGCTCTTTCTCTCCAGCCTGTCCGTCAGGTCAGTTTAAGGCGGGGTTGGGTCCTGGGGGGGGTAGCCAGTGTCCAGCCTTTAGCAAGACGCCGATCCCATTTTCCGTGTCTCTCTGGTTACCATGGAGCCGCCTCCGCCCCGCCACACGCTGCCTGCACCCGTAAGACTGAGTTTGTTTCATTGAGTTTCCTTTGTTTCTTTTTTGTTTTTTATTCTTTCTACTTTCTTTTGCTTTCATTTTGTTTCAAGTGAGATTTTATTTATAAAGCTCAGTATCACAAATTTATCTCAAGGGTCTTTCTGTCTTTCTTTGGTGGAGATGTCCTGACTTTTACTGTCTGGTAGGGGTCAAAACACTGGCTCCTTCCCACAGTGCACCTGGATAAACAGCCACATCTCCAAAACGCTGCTTTGTGGGATTGTTAGCATGGACACTGCTCTGTGGAATATGTGGGCGCACTGTGCAGCGGTGGATTTACACACAAATAAAATGGCGGACAGTGCACTGTGTAGTAAATATAATTATGGGTGACAGGCGACATGATGGGGTTGTTTCTACTGAGAACAAACCACTGAGCTACATGTGTAGATGTGGTGGAATGCCCCTTTAATACCACACACATACATCCTGTGCTATTTTAAAGCTGTTGAAAAGGTCCTGTAAAGTCGCCACATGGACACACACACACACACACACTGGACCTGTCTGCTAGAAGCTCCACAGCAGCTCCCCACGCCCTCCACAGCAGCTCCACACGCCCCTCCACAGCAGCCCCACACACAGCTCCACACCAGCTCCACACACTCCTCTACAGCAGCTCACCCCTCCACAGCAGCTCACCCCTCCACAGCAGCTCGCCCCCAGGCAGCAACAATTAGGCCAAATTAATAGGCTCATTATCTCTGTGTGTGTGTGTGTGTCTTGTAATTTCAGGGTCGTACCTGCGCACACACACAGGTTTCAGGTTTCACAGATGTATGTGTGGAAGTAGAAACGTCTTATCTATGGGGTCCTTGATCAGTCGGCCGAAAACAAAGAATGCAAATGAAAGAGACAGAAAACCGAGCGAGACAAAGGAAAACTAATTACAGAGGAATGAAAATTGCTGAGGTCTGTCAGAGAAAAACAGTCAGGCTTTCTGTTTGTTGGCTGTTTTCTTTTCTTGACTTTACCCATAAGTCTGAACCCAGAGCCGAACCCTCATCCAGCCAGTGTTTGTCTGTCCTGACCTCTAACCTCTGACCCCCCTCAGGCCCCCCCTCTGCTCCGCGCTCCATCGTGAGCCAGATCAACGACACCACGCTGACTCTGGAGT